TCTAATCTATGAAGCCTCTAATGAAGTACTGAAAACACTAACTATCTAAAAATACTGAAGAGTGTAAGGTAATGATAATGCCCCGAAAGTACTGGGGCTTACCAAATAGCCGGTACGAGAATCCTAGCGCTCTGAATCGTCGACCTGTAAATCATTATCTATATCGTGAGATGCAGACCCCGGGCAAAAAGGGACGTCAGTATATTTGAATTGCACTGGTATGTAAAGCAACTAAAATAAAGAACTATAAATGTTGAAACTGATACTGAGATGATAACTGAGAATTGATAATCGATACCTGAAATGGTAATTGTTGAAACTGAAACTGAAATGATAACTGTGATAACTGAACAAAAAAAAAAGAAGTAAGGATATGAATACTTCCTCTTCTGAATGATGAACAACCTGTTTATCTGAATAAATCACGGCCTTGGACCCAATATATATGTGCACAAGCTACGGTCTCAGGCCCAAGTATACGTATACATAACTACGGCCTTAGGCCCCAAAATGCATATAGCATAAGCTACGACCTCAGGCCCAAACATGCTTAAAGCATAAACTACGGCATCAGGCCCAAATATGTATAAAGCATAAACTAAGGCCTCAGGCCCAAATACAGGTGTTCAACATTCAGGAATTTAAAATAAAGAATTGAGAATCATACTGCAATACATGATGCTGAAATACTGAATAATATTGAGTTACATGATACTGGAATTCTGAATTGGACTAGACTGAACAAGTATTCATGAACTGATTATGATAACTGAAGCTTCAAATATTTATAACATGCTGAGTAATCTTGACAGAGACTCATGAGAATCAATCACAAGTCTATATTGGTTACGCACTGAGCTCACAACGTTCGGAATGAAAGTCATGAATGAATTACAAAGCTAGAGAATAGAAGTTCTACGACTATTCAAGGAACTAAGCTTAACTATATTTTTTAGGCCATTAGTAACATTGAATAAGAGACGTAGTATAGGGAGAATCATTAATATTTCCAAACATAGAGAGTTAGCCTCACATACCTTAACTTCTTGCTCTTGAACGTAGTACATCATTTGCTAACCCTTTCAACTTTAATCTATACCAATACAAGTCAAAAGGGTTCCATATTAGCAATAATACTCATGCTTAGGTCACTTAGGCATTTTCTCAAACACTTGATAGGCATAAAGCTTCATAGCCCTTATTAATGGTGTTTTTACACCCAACAACCCATTCTCTTGCTCATAGATAAATTTTGAAATCTCAATTTGCTATAATCAATACCATTCTTCATCACCCATAAGATAAACAACACTCTTAATAACTAATTAACAATCAACAACCCAAACCTATCATCATTCATACTTTTTTATCAAACTCATAAACTCTAATCTCATGAACATAGAGTCTATAATTATTAATCAAATACTATAATCAAGTAGAAGGTGAAAATATTACCGTTTTGACGTTCAATCCTCTTGAATTCGAATTATAGGGTTTCGTCTCTCAAAACTGATGTCCCAATCGAATATCTATTGATTTGAAGGGTTTACCCATGTTAATAAGGTGTTGGGGAGTTGAAATCAACTTAGACTCATTATTAGAACTCACCTTGGATGAGGAGGGACCTTGGAGGAAGTTAGGTTCTTGAGAGCTTCCCTTTCTAGAGCAAGTTTTTATGTTTTGGTATGTGGGGGACGAAGTAGGACTTTAAAAATGACCCCCGGGTGCGCTCCCATGCACCTGGATGCGCAGTAGGGCAGTATCAGTGCCACAAGAGTGCGGCCGTGCATGGGACCATCTTTGCGCGCACCCAGGGGCACATACTGCGTATTGTCCAGTAAAACACACATAACGTTTTGCACAGAGATCCGTTCGGGATCCACAATGTATCGTTAGAAAGATATTTCCAAGGGCTACAACTTTCGTGTTTTGTGTGTTCCCAAATTCCTTACCTATTTTGCGCGAAGTATTGATGGAAGACGGATTTTTCATAATTTAGTCGATTTTATCGGATCTTATACTCCTCACTCTCCGTTTTGATTCCAAAATAACTATTTTCACCCATACTCATCCCGATAGGACTTCATATGTCTAAAATATCAAATTAATACTCATTTAACATATCCACACCTAGTCCGAATGTACGAAGTGGTACAGATTTGGCCTATTTTGCTCGAAGTGAGAGAGAAGAAATAGGGAGAGAAAGAAGAAAAATTCTGAGAGAGAATCGTGTGTTAATTGAAAAAAAGAAAGAGGAAAAACATAAATAGCGTATTTCATACCTCAATAATAGTATATATCATAAATACTTATTTTGTTATAAAATATAAAAGGTAGTTATAAAAAATAATATTTTAAAATAATTTTGGTTTATAATAAATAGGATGTATAGTAAAATTTCCTATAATTAAACTTGTTCATGTTCCCGTTAAAATCAATCTTGCTCCAAGTCTTGTGTTCTGTGAAAAAAGCTCTGGCCTTGTGCCTTCTGCCCTTCTCTCATCAGCTAGCCACACAACAGCAGCAATTGCACCAGTGTTTCCACTGTTGGTTTAGGCCCAAAGTCGATTTCTTAAATGCTGGGCCTTAAGAATTGGATTGTCCAACGTAACAAGAGAGCATGAGGTACACAAATAGCCCTTAAAGTAGATATTTAGAATTTTATATCCTCGCTTGCCCCATGGTCAAAACTTTAAACTTAATACGTATTGCCCTCACTTGACTCATGGACAATATTTTTAACTTTTGACCGATGGAGAAAGCGTGGATTAGAAATTAAAGACCACCCAAAAAAGTGTTATATTTATGTAATTTTTTGCTGAGTCAGAAGCACGAATGGTCAAACATGTTTTGTTGGAAAACATAATACAATTATATTTTGAAAAAAAGAAAATCTCCGAGAAAACCCAGAGAATTCTTCCAAAACCAAATATAAACACTCATAAAAGAATAAAATTGAAATTAAATCAAAACAAAAACAGAACAATATTCTTATCCAAACACGTTAAGATGCAAAGGGTCTCAGAAATCTCCTCCAACCTCTGTATTTTCACTAAGTTTCGATGACTTTGAGTTTCTCTTTAAATGATGACTAGTAGTAAATGAGTAGTATTTATGATTCGGTTTGGGTTATTTTTTTTTAAATGAGTAGTATTTATGATTCGGTTTGGGTTGTTTTTTTTAAAAAAAAAAAACCAAATAAGTCTCTATTTTTCTATTATTGGAATCAAACCAATCTAATTGAATTAATTTTTTATCGATTAGGTTTTTGTCGATTTTGTTAGCTTTTTGATTTTTTTTTTTGTTGGGTTTTCTATAAATATGTGAAATACACTATACGTCATGCACATGTTCTACCGACTATATTCTAGCATAACACTTCCAAGTCAATTACTCTTTATGAATAGTTGTCATTTACCAATATATTTTGATGATAATTGAACAAAATAGTGATGAATAATTTAAGCACTCAATTAATGACAAGTTATTTTTAACATGAAATAGATTATTGAACTTAACAAAATAAAAACTACAAATCAAACTAGAAAGTAAAGGCAAAGAACTAAATTACTATAATGGCAAAGAACTAGATTACAAACCAATTGTGTAAAAGATTAATATGTACTGTAAGATTTTATGAATTTTATATAGAAGTGTATACATATGTGTGTAACTATAATTTTAAATAGGTATTTTTATAATCGGTTTGATTCGATTTTTTTGGTTAGTTTTTCTTAAAATCTAAACCAAACCAAATATTGTCGGTTTTTAAAATTAAAAATTAAGATTAAATCAAACCAAAAAAATGTCGATTTTTTTCTTGGGTTTGAATCAGTTTTTGGTTTGGTTTGCTTTTTCGTTCACGTGCACACCCTAGTAGTAAATAAGCTGCATGGGCATGAGAATAATAGTCCGTTTGGCCAATCGGTAAAAATCAGCTTATTTTGAGAAGTGCTTTTTCTCAAAAGTACTCTTGGTAGAAGCAGTTTGTGTTTGGCTAGTTAATTTCAAAAGCGCTTCTGAGCAACAATTAGTGTTTGGCCAAGCTTTTAAAAACTGCTTCTAAGAGTATTTTCCTCAAAAATGCTTCTCAAAAAAATTCTTTTGGAGAGAAACTACTTTTTTCTGATTCTCCTCAAAAATACTTTTTTTTCTTTCAAAAGTTTGACCAAACATTTCAACTTTGAAAAAGAAAGCACTTTTTTTTAGGATTGGAAAAACTTGGCCAAACATACTAAAAATAGGGGACAACTTCTTTTCGCCATCAAATGATTTCAGGTATTCAGATATGTTGTCTAGTTTGGTGTGCTGAACGGATGGTTAATAAGAGAAGCATGTCACATGGCTGAGTTGATTTCACCCCTCCGTTAACAGAAGCAATGTCATTTCTCTTTGTGTTTCTTCTATTCTATTCACAGCGCGTAACAAGTTAGCATATCAGCAGGTAGTTACGCACAAAAATACATACAACTGCAATGAGTTAATTGGTATTTTGCAGACAAGAAAGAGTTACTTTAGTTATTGAGCTGGTAGATGGTTCCATATTGGTTGAGGGAATGAACTGCCGTCTCATCTTGGACAACACTTACCTCATAAGCTAGTTTTTAAGGTATAGTTAGGATCAAAATTAATATTTACTTGGTATCATAGTCAAACTCATCTCTATTCTTGTATTTCCCCCCATGTTATGTTACGCATGTTCTAGTTGTCAGGCCTAGCGTGTGTGGTGTTAGAGTGTCGCAATCAACTCTATGCTCCAGTTTCTAGGCGTGAGCGTGGGCGGTGTTAGTGTCCCGCATTAGCTAAGGAATGCACTATTTATCTCCTTATATACTCTTGGAAAATCATTATCAAGTTAAATATTCAATTGGTATGATTGACCGTAGAAAAGGAAAATGAAAGTATTTTTTAGTAAATGGTGATGTAAATATGTGTAACTAACTAGTGACATTGTACTTATATAAAGCAGCTCACTGACTATCCCGTGTTCAAAGTAGAAACACAATGACCAAGCTCTTCTTACTCACATTACTCTTCCAATCACTCATTGCTGTCTCTGAACATCACGGGTCAGGGCAGAGCGTTGCACCACCAATTGCAGGTGGCACAACTCCCGCTGCCCCATCCAGTGCCGCCCAAGAGTTCTTAGATGCGCACAACAAGGTAAGAGCTGAGGTCGGAGTTGGCCCTCTGAAATGGAGCATCATGCTCGCCAATGCCACCAGCATTATTACGCGCTATCAGAGGGACAAGCGTAGCTGCAGCTTTGCAAACTTAAGCAGCATCAACTATGGCCAACTTCAACTCCTGTTTAGAGGATTGATTGCAATACCACCACAAGTAGCTGTGGATATCTGGGTTGCTGAAAAGAAGTTTTACAATTATGCTAACAACTCTTGCATACTGGGCCACGAATGCTTCTCTTACACCCAAGTGGTCTGGAAAAACTCGCTGGAACTTGGTTTGGTTGTGCTCAAGCTACTTGCTCCAACAACCACACTATTCTAACCATATGTTTCTATAATCCACCTGGGTAATTGGAGAGAAACCTTACTAATCTATCCACTTTTCTAATCTACAATTTTATGCAGAATCCAAAACTATTGCTTTTTATTTAACATATGCTTTCTGTCTTTTTTGCGCAAAACAAACATAATTACTTTAAAACTCCAGCGATAGTTGAGCAATGAATATGAATTAGATTTATGTACGAGACTGCAACTCAAAATTGCTGGTTCTTACACACAAACTAAGCTTTGCTCTAGTAGCAATAGCCAAAGAATGGAGGGCACTTCCACAAAGACACAAAATTATAGGAACTTTGATCATCCTCCATTCTAACACAAACTACCATTCATTTATACAGAAGGGATGAAAGAAAAAAAATTGAGACCCCTTTCAAAGACAAGAAATAAACAACCGGATCCTTCAATTAAGCTTAAGCATACCATCAAAGTAGTCATTTCACCAGGTCCTTCATTATCAGATACCGGAAAGAGAAATTATGTGGAGCCCATTCAATGTTCTTGCGGCCCTTCCCCTGTGGAATCTTCTTAATGCTCTTTCTAAGAGAATCCGGTAAAGATTGCTGGACCATCTCCATCACACCGGCAGGACATAAGCTAGAATCCTTAGCAAAGGACTCCACTACTTTTGGCAAAACAATTTTCTGATCCTTCCTCACACCGAAGGTAGCCCTGATATATTCTTCTTTTGCGACTTCCAGCTCCTGAAATACTCTCTTGGGTGTATAGACTCGAACCTGACAACAAACATTTGACTCCCCCGTTAGACAAACAAATTTAATCGTTAGTCATCAAATTTTGTTCTCAAATGATTACAAAATATTGTCATCTTTTTCTTCTTTTCAATCATTAAGTGCAGAAGAAAAGAATGAAACTAGTCTCTAGAGACTTTTTAGTCCAGATCCAATTTTATAGATGCCAAGGAGGCTGGCATCATTGAAATGACAAGATCCTGAAGTTCGGAAAGAACTTGATTATGCAAATTGGCCTCCACGTCACCACTAATTCTAACTTTTTTCAAACGTGTAACTGGATTTGCATAGCAGAGATCAACTGCTATTTTCATGACCAGTGAATAGATGTCCACAGATCTTAAATTAGTTTTAAGATGGAAGTTGATGCCTATTTCTAGCTTTGTGATGAGCAAAAACAGTTGTTTACTCAAATGCTCATGGAGAAGATAACAAGAAGAATATATTATGGCCAATACCGCGGGATCTGAGTGGTTGCCAGAGCATAGTGAAAAATGCAGTAGGGGTTCTGGATGTTCAATAGCGTATGTTTGTCTTTCATCCCCCGCCTTGAATTTTCCTTTAGAAGAAAGTAACAAGCGAAGCCACTGCATTGATAGAGAACTTTATCAGCATTTCAAGTATCAAATCCTACAACACCAGTAGAACTAGAGATGTTCCAAGAACAAAAATCACTAAGCTGGAGTATTATTCAATTATTTTTGAATGAGTACAGACATTTTGACTGCAAGAAGGAAAGAAAGATGCCCTAACTTCATCAGAAAAAAAAAGGAAAGAAAGATACTAAATGCTCTTGGGATATACTTCAAGGAGAGTCAATGTTTTGAGGTGTAGTTAATTGATTGTGCAGCTTAGAACATAACCGTTGCACATGTAATCTAACCTGAGAATGGATATGTAACAAGAAAAAAGTTCATGAGGTGTACCTGTCCTGGTCTGGACATTCGACATCCCAGGATAGAGTTCTGTATCACATCGGCACTTACTACATGACCTCCAACATTATAGGCAGCCTGGATTAAGCAATAAGGTTAGACAACATCTCCACCAAGCAATTCTTAGCCAAATAAATAAGTTATGTTTGCTAACCTTCAAGAGTAGATATATTCTCTTCACATTGTTTTGGGGAATACCGTAAGCTAAAAATGCCTACACATAAATAGTAAAACTCCACCATCAGCTAAAAGTAGATATTGACTTCAATGATTTCCAAAACTATAATGCTGATACTCTAATCAACGAGGAATCTTACATGCATCACCAATGCATTATGCACGTTAATCCAGAATGCTAGCTTCTCTTCGTGAGTCAATTTTCGTGGATCTATTTGTTCTAAGCGAGAAATAAGTGACCTGCAATATGACACTTCAATGAGTGTTATACAATAATAAAGGCTAAAGTCGTGCCATGAGGTGCCTGAGTATCAACTGTACTCACCTGAAATTCTGTAACATCGGTTCAATATCCCCCAATTTTTGAGTATCTCTATATACACACTGTACTTCAACCATAGTGCTGTAAGGTCCACTGAATTCCTTCAACCCTTCCACATGAAAAGGATTGTCCAGCCGAACATCAAAAGATGAATCATTCCTAAATCCTGGACTCCATATGTCTTTTGGAGAAAATGCACTTATGGAAGACAAAGATGAGGTTGGCGATGAAAGACCAGGATTTGTCAGCGGAGGATCAGCAAGCTTGCAATATATGGTGCACATGCACTTTATCATATCCTCAGACAGCTTATTTGGTGTCTCTGGAACGTGATCAGAGATACGGGTGCCAAGATGCTCCGCCAAACTGATTACATTTGAAGAAGTATTCTGCGCATACTGCAAAGAAGGCATAAGAAAAGACTCAATTTTTTAAAAAATTTATCGTTCTATACAGAAAAAACCACTCCACATTTCTAAGACATTTAATACAAAATCACTCCTTCCCTCAAATTTCAGAGAGTGCAACAAGAATTTGTCTTCCTCAGGTAAATTACCTCCATCATAGATAAAGGTTGAGAATGACAAGCACGCAAAGCTTTGCCCAGTGTCTCCTCTGGTGGAGAAGATCTGCTCGACTGAGCTGAACGCTGAGATAACGAAGAACGGCTTCTATTAACTCCAGACTCATTAATTTTGTCTTCTGCCATGCTATTAGTTTCTTTCCGTGGATTTAATTCTGTTTGACTATTAACTCGAGATGAAGAGTTTTCCCTTCTCAACATCACATCAGAATTGGAGAATTCAAGACGCCTTCTTGGCGTACTTATAGGAGATTTTAGTTTAACATCTTTTGTGGGAGGAGACAAAGATGAGATTTGTTGATCAAATGCTTTCCTGTATAGTGAGAGAAGATACTGTTCCAGATGCCCAACTTCCAACTCTAGTACTGCAATATCTCTAATCAGTTCTGTGGCTGGCTGAAATCAATTGACAAGAGTACAATCAGCATTTGACAGAGATAAGGGTAATGGGTCATCTAATATAAAGTGTCCAACAACCACCATGAGCCAACCACAATAGACTATTTGAACCTTAAACTACGAAACCGGCTTCACAGAGAGTTATAAATGTGTGAAATCCCCAAATTTTGCAAACACTCTGACAGTATATCTAAAGCTAATAATATGTGCATCTCACATATCTGAAATCCAGCTCTTCAAATTGGAATTACCTCAAATATATAGCATATTATATAGTTCATTTTACGACTACAAGGAGCAGGAGGAGGTACCTTAGGCATTGAGGTCACTTCATTGACATCTTGAGAAGAAGTTTTATACCCTAATGCTTTCTCAAGAGCACATCGAACTGCAACTTGGTCATGTAATCTTCTCTCCAGCTGCATTATCTGCAGTGAGATATGGTTTTGACCATTACATTAACAATCTAGTCAATTCAACTGTCTGAAAAGATATATCATCTATGTTAGGCTACCTCTTGCCTCAGAGAACTCTGAACTTTAGCCGTGGATGATTGTTTCTTCTCGCTCACATTACTGTCATTCGCGTGCCTCATATCCTAGTGAAATATAAAATGATTGTTAGTTGAAAAAGCTGGGTACCTCGAGGAGTTGTACTTATTTCTTTCTGTTTGCAGAAGAGAGAATTAATAAATCGAATCATAGAGATATCAGAAAAAAAGAATCCAGTCTCAGCATTTCCTTGGTCAAGTACACAGAAAGTGAGAAATGGATTTTAAAGCAGAGAAGGACAGGAATACAGGAAGCAAGGTAGAAGATCATGACAGCATGATGTTGGGAGTTCCATTCCTTTTTCTTTTCTTTTTTTTAACTTTTACTTTTACTTTCCTTTTCCAACATTTTGACATTGCAGAATTTCACTCACAGTATAGCTTGAGAGCTTCTAAATATCAGAAGACAAGATGGAAGTTTCCTTACCAACTTCAATCGATTAGCGGCCTCTACAGAAGGATCCACGATGTCCTCCTTGGGTCCTCGTTTATCCGGGAAGCTGTCATTACAGAAACCACATAACAAGATTGAATAAAGCTGTAGACAACACTCAAGAAACCACGTATAGGAAAGATTTAGCCACGGGGCATATCCGGACTACACCAGAGACTTCTAAAATAAGCAAACATGCTTTATGCAGAACTAAAGAAGTAGGATTTGAGAACAGAAGAAAATGGAATGGTAGTTCAGAAACTTGGATGCTAGATTCAATAGTCCATATCATACAAAAAACCCTTTCCCCTTTCCCAATCTTCCTACAAAAGCTTCCTAATTTTGCAGTAATGCTAAGCCCACAATGGTACCAAGAAAATTGCAAGAAGGGCCAGTTTATCAAGCAAACACATAGTTGCACAGATGTGATCTAGAGATGTTTCTTTGTACAAAACACCAAGTATTATCTACCTTGGGGAACATACCCAATAAGCAAATTTTCCAGTTAAGCAGACCTCTAATACAGTGAAGTAAGAAAGAGAAAAATGAGAAATTATAAAACAAGAAGAAATCCAAAGGCTACCTCTTGGAACGCGTGTGTATAGAAGATGTCACTCTATTTCCAGGCAATTTACTGGTACTGGTACTAAACCCTTCAAAATCCATATCTGCAGCCCACTCAATGACAATGAAAAGTTTCCCCATTTAGCCATCAAGAAACTAATTTTCTTGGCCAATGCGTAAAAGGAACAGCAAAAAATGGATCACAGAACACTTACCATTGCATACTTCAATACAGCTAACTATCAAAAATCAGATTTTTGGAAGATGGAAATAGACCCACAGGCATAAAGACCCCAAATAGGCCTAAAACATCTCAGCTTGGAATCAAAAACTCAATTTTTCTCCTTGCATTTGCAGAAATTCAAGCCACCACACTCA